AAGTTATACATTCTTGACAAATTCTTAACTTTAGGGTCTAACAATTCTGTTTCCAATTTTGATTTTTCCACCTGGGAGCCTAATTTTTTGTCCAAATTATATGCCTCCATTATTTGATAATAATGGAGCCAATCTCGTACTCTGTTTTTTAATTTTTCAAAGCTCTGCAATTTTAATCTGTCTCCCTCTTGTTCCAAGATTTCCCAATACTTCGGCCATTTGGCCTCCATATTGAGTTTTTTCTGAGCCTTTGCTTCCATTGGTGACAACCATCTTGGGGTTTTATTTTCTAACAAGTCCTTATATCTTATCCAAACATTATACAGTGCTTTTCTGACAATATGGTTTTTAAACGCTTTGTGTGCTTTAACCTTATCATACCACAGGTATGCATGCCAACCAAATACGTTGTTGAAACCTTCCAAATCCAACACATCCGTGTTTTCAAGAAGCATCCATTCTCTCAGCCAATGGATGCACATTTAAAGCACATGGTCTCTTTCTCGCCGCCGCCAGATCACCCTGAGAACTGTAGTTTGAGGATGCTGGGAATTGTAGCTCTCTGGGAGTAAACTACACTTCCCAGGATTACTTGGGAGAAGCCGTGTGCTTTCAGTATGTGTTTGAATGAATAGGGTGGGTGTGGCCATAGCTGTTCCACAAATAAAGCTGGTAGCTGTCTTTAACCACAGGTAAGAGTTTTGGCACATAGGACTGTTGGCTGTCTTCTCATGGGCAAATCTCCCCATTTGGCTGAAGAATCCCGACCCTGGCAACCCTGAGATCGCTGGATGAAATAATGCTTTTAATGTTAACTGATTTCAAAATGCCTTTTTTCTTAAAGAGAAAACAAAATAAATTGTTTGCCATCTTTGCCGCCCTGGGCTCCTTCGCTCCAAAGGGTGGAATATATATCCTGTCAATCAATTGAACATCTGACCGCTGCTGGCATGCCCAGGACGGTAGAGTCCCGGCTGAGGCTGTGATCCAGTTTGCGCCTGCCTGAGAGTGAGTCCCATTTTGCTGAGGGAGACTTGCAGGTACAGTCATACCTCTGAAGTCAAACAGAATCTGTTCCGGAAGTCTGTTGGAATTCCGAAATGTTCGACTTCCAAAGCTCCTGCAGCCAATCGGAAGCCCCATCGGACATTTGGCTTCCAAAAGAACATTCGAAAACCGGAACACTCACTTCCGGTTTTTGGTTGTTTGGGAGCCGGAACGTTCAACACCCCAGGTGTTCAGGAGCCGAGGTACGACTGTACAGTGGTACCTCTGGTTAAGAACTTAATTCGTTCTGGAGGTCTTTTCTTAACCTGAAACTGTTCTTAACCTGAAGCACCACTTTAGCTAATGGGGCCTCCCACTGCCGCCGCACGATTTCTGTTCTCATCCTGAAGCAAAGTTCTTAACCCGAGGTACTACTTCTGGGTTAGCGGAGTCTGTAACCTGAAGCGTCTGTAACCCGAGGTAGCACTGTATAGCATTGCACTGTCTAGTAGACTGAACCAGTAATGAAGTTGGGTTTCCTAGGAAGATTTGAGACACACAGACTTGGGCTTGCAAAAAGGCTGGCTTGCTCTGTGGGGAAAGCATTCGTCTTTAGTCTGTGTGTAGGTGCACAATCTTCATGTTTATTTGTCCGTTCTGTCCCATATTGGGGATGGATTGCGCACTCTGGGCTTGGCTCCCGTGGCATTTTCTCAGACCATGTCTGTGCCGGACGCCAATGCAAGTGTGGGTAACCTTTCCAGGCCTCTTGATGGTTGTTGGACTACATCATCACCACTGGCCCTGCTTGCTGGGGCTGATGGGAGTTGTAGTTCAGCAGCATCTGGAGGACCAAAGATTCCTCATCTGCAGTGCAATGGTTTGCGTCATTAACTCTTGCCTTGCTGAGCCTCACTATGTCTGTCTATTCATGTGTATCGTGAATATCAGACGTCCCCAAACTCGGCCCTCCAGATGTTTTGGACTACAATTCTCATCATCCCTGACCACTGGTCCTGTTAGCTAGGGATGATGGGAGTTGTAGTCCCAAAAAATCTGGAGGGCCAAGTTTGGGGATGCCTGGTGAATGTATATCTTTAATAATCCACCAACACATTCATTTTGGGCTTTGGGTCACAAGAGCTTCCGTTGCAATTAATTGCTTGTATTTTGAAGTGTAAGGATATGCTGCAGTTTTCCTTGGTGAAGCTTCCTCTTTCCTGGTTTTGCTCTGAGTTACGCCCTCTGGGAGCTGACATGTCCTTCAGAAGAAAGCTGCCATCCAGCCAGGGTCCCTGGAGTGATGTATTCTGTCCCAGCTTGAACCTGCTGTTGGAAAATTCAGGACACACAGAAGGAAGAACTTCTTTATGCAATGCACAGACGGCAGTGATGACCAGCAAGCTAGCATGCTTACTTTATTATTATATTCATTCATTTTCTGGCCTTTCCCCCAGACAGACAGCTTACAGATAGAATAGGAACAGCTAAAAACATAGAGAATAAAAACCTCAGTAATTAAAAAGGAGTTAAACACTGGTTGGAACCTAGCTATGGGATGACTTTAAAAGCCATCAGTGGCAACTAGCTGTGTTCGAAATTAGCCAGGCGCTGGGCGCATTTTGCACCTGGCTGTCCGCCACTTGCGACTAAGTGGAGATGCCCGAGTCTTGGCTCCTGATGTCTCCACCATCTGGAGTTGTATGCCTAGAGATCCTTGGATCTTGACAGTTTTTAGGGACGCAGGTGGCGCTGTGGGTTAAACTGCAGAGCCTAGGACTTGCCGATCAGAAGGTTGGCTGTTCGAATCCCTGCGACGGGGTGAGCTCCCGTTGCTCAGTCCCTGCTCCTGCCAACCTAGCAGTTCGAAAGCACGTCAAAGTGCAAGTAGATAAATAGGTACCGCTCTGGCGGGAAGGTAAACAATGTTTCCCGTGCGCTGCTCTGGTTCGCCAGAAGCGGCTTAGTCATGCTGGCCAAATGACCCGGAAGCTGTACACCGGCTCCCTTCGCCAGTATAGCGAGATGAACGCTGCAACCCCAGAGTCAGGGGTCCCTTTACCTTTAATAATAAATTTTATTTATACCCCGCCCTCCCCGGCCAGAGCCGGGTTCAGGGCGGCTAACACCAATGAAATCACAGTAAAAACATAATAGGGGGGAAAGAGAGGGGGGGAACCAATATAAAATACAAGTTAAAATGCAATTTAAAATGCAGCCTCATTTTAAAGTAGCCGATAAATCAAGACCATAAGGGGAGGGAAACATAAGGGTCAGACTGAGTCCAAACCAAAGGCCAGGCGGAACAGCTCTGTCTTGCAGGCCCTGCGGAAAGATGTCAAGTCCCGCAGGACCCTAGACTCTTGGGACAGAGCGTTCCACCAAGTCGGGGCCAGTACTGAAAAGGCCCTGGCCCTGGTTGAAACCAATCTAACCACCTTGCGACTTGGGACCTCCAAAATGTTGTCATTTGTGGACCTTAAGGTTGTCCGCGGGGCATACCAGGAGAGGCGGTCCTGTAGGTACGTGGGTCCTAGCAACATGCCATGTGGAATTCTGCCTGCGATGTTTTATCTGCGCAATCGGAGTGAATTTCAGGAACCGAAAGGTTGCATTGGAAAAAAAGATGACTTCTGAGCCGCCTGGCCCAAAGATGGCAAGCAGGCGTTGTGTTTTGGCCGCTGTAACCCTGGTTTGAGGAGCCATTGGCGGCTGGCTTATATATCTGAGTTTCTAACCCCGGCTACAAGTCCCAATGGCTATGCTGTGCCTTCACAGCTGGCGGCAACAATACTTTTGAATGCTCTTTGCTGGAAACCACAGTGGGGAGAGGGCTCTTATTCTCAGGTTCTGTTTGTGGGTTGCTGGACCAGGTGGGCTGTTTTGGACTAGCTGGACCAGCGGCTGGGACTTCTACTGCGTTTCCTGCCTCCCGGTTACAAACTCTGTCTTAATCCCACCCCCAGATTTATTGCCGCCTTCCACAACCTCCCTCCCCGCTATCTTTCGTGGTCCTCCAAGGTGAATTTGACATTTGCTTCCCGCCAGGAATTGCATTGTGTCTTGCAATCAGCCTGAGTAACTGAAATAATAATTAGTCTGAATGCTTTGCTCTATTTTTAGGCCACGTTAGTCAGCGCTTTTGCTTCTCCCGAATCGCGCTTGCCAGCTGAAACGCTTCTGTTCCGAAGGGGTGGCGTTTATCGCCCTGCAGGGCAGTCGGAGCAGCCCCCAATTCACATCTCACCTGGGCCACAATCTCACCTTGTGGCCTTTACCTGTTTTGATTCAGACACTGTAGTTCCTTAAGAACCGTCCCTGGGCGGCCGCTACAGTCGTCGGTTGCGGTTGTTGTACGGATGCATCAGGTTTTGTGACCTGAGGATGCGGGCAAGATCTCTGCAGAGGTGAGATCCTTGCCTGCATTTGCGTCTTGGCCCGTCCGGCTCCTTGAATTGGGGCAAAGGGATGGGGGTCTTGCAGAATACAACTGCTTCATTAAGGAAAGATGATTCAGCTCACAAATGAGGCTGCCATGAGATCGCTCTTTGGGGAGCGGGCGTTTGGTGAGTTGCATAAATGTTACATGTTAGGAGGCAAGGTGTTTTGACTGCTTGTTGACAAGCTGACTCCAGATCACGTTGGATGCAATTTATTTTATTTATATACTTAGCAAAAATTTATACACCTCTTGAACGTAGGCTGCTTACGAGAACCCCCGGACGAAAGTGATTGCGTAGATCAGCGGTTCTGAAATCCATGCATGGTTTGCCATTTTTGCTTTCATGTGGCTCACAGGTTATCTCTGGATTTGAAGATGGAAGGAGCTGGCACTTCCATCGCACTGAATATCCGTACTGGTTTTTAATTGTGTTTTTATTGCTGCTTTTATTCCTTTATGCTGCATTTGAATTCTGTGGAATTGCAGTTGCTGCAACAGGCAAAGAAAACCATAGAGTTGGAAGGGGACACGAGCGTCACGTAGTCCAACCCCTTGCAATGCAAGAATCTTTTGCCCAACGTGGGAATCGAACCCACGACCCTTGAGATTAAGAGACTCATGCTCTGCCAATAGAATCATCCACTGACGGTCCATGGCATGGGGGAAACTACTGGTATAGATGTCTTCAAAGCTCGCTTCTGAACTGAGATTGGGACCAAGATTTTCTTGGTTGTTCTGGCAGATGACCTACATGATTCTCCTGTGCTTCTGAGCACCTTTCAGTATATTATATCCTTCTGGGCTGGCTAGCTGGGATGGTATCCTCGTTCATGCCCATCACCAAGGGAATGTGATGGCCCCAAGCAAGGGTATCAGCAAGCCCATGGTTCTTAAAGTGGGATGGAGGTAAGGCAAGGAGAGGTCAGGATATTGACCAAATGGAACGTGTGCAGAGGAGGGAGACCAAGATGATCAAGGGTCTGGAGACCAAGCCTGATGAGGAATGGTTGAAGGAGCTGGGGGTGCTTAGCCAGGGAAACAGGTGACTAAGAGGAGATACGAGAGCCATCTTCAAATATCTCAAGGGCTGCCACATGGAAGAGGGAACAAGCTTGTTTTCTCCTGCTCCAGAGTGGCCATTATTCTCACTTTTACAGCAGCTCTTGCCCTAGAGATTGAGGTTGATTGAGGTTGAGGTTGAATCCTGACAAGACAGAAGTACTGTTTTGGGGGGACAGGGGGCGGGCAGGTGTGAGGGACTCCCTGATCCTGAATGCGGTAACTGTGCCCCTGAAGGACCAGGTGCGCAGCCTGGGAGTCATTCTGGACTCACAGCTGTCCATGGAGGCACAGGTCCATTCTGTGTCCAGGGCGGCTGTCTACCAGCTCCATCTGGTACGCAGGATGAGACCCTACCTGCCCGCAGACTGTCTCGCCAGAGTGGTGCATGCTCTAGTTATCTCTCACTTGGACTACTGCAGTGCGCTCTACGTGGGGCTACCTTTGAAGGTGACCCGGAAACTACAACTAATCCAAAATATGGCAGCTGGACTGGGGACTGGGAGCGGCCGCCAGGACCACATAACACCGGTCCTGAAAGGCCTACATTGGCTCCCAGTCCGTTTCCGAGCACAATTCAAAGTGTTGGTGCTGACCTTTAAAGCCCTAAACGGCCTCAGTCCTGTATACCTGAAGAAGCATCTCCACCCCCATCGTTCAGCCTGGACACTGAGATTCAGAGCCAAGGGCCTTCTGGCGGTTCCCTCATTGCGAGAAGTGAGGTTACAGGGAACCAGACAGACGGCCTTCTCAGTAGTGGCACCCACCCTGTGGAACACCCTCCCATCAGGGCGGCTAACATCATGAAACTAAGACAGTATACAAAGAACATAAGAACTACAAGACTACAAGGCAAGGGGGCGCCAGGGATGTAAGTGGCTTTCAGATTTTGAAAAATTGGTATCACTGGATCACATTCACAAGCTTTGTTGCACTAATTAAACTGAATAGTTTAAATTGGATTTTGAATAAGTGCGCAATTAATTGTTGCTGTTTCGAATTTTATTGTTCCATCATCTTCCTTAGCGGACCATGAAAAGCGCTATTCTGAACGATGCTTTCTACAGAACAGGATAGGATAGGGCTAGGGAGGAGTTTATGAAACCGAGGGGGAGGTTGCCTGAAAAAAATTGGGAGCTACCGATATAAACTAAGCTTAATAATAACCATCGTCTCATTGCCTCTGTTCTCCCATCTGCAACAGTGCTTTGAAAATTGGGGAACAGTTCTCTCTCTCCCTCTCTTTCTGAAAAAAAAAACAGCAAAATATTAGAACTGTCACCAGACTGAAATTGATTTGATTAATCAACTTAGATTTTAATAACGTTAAATCTCTGCATGAATTTGCATATGAGTGGAAAAAATTGAAGTTAAAAATAGCAATCTCTTTTTATTTTTAGGAAGATTAGGCAGGGGTTGCAGCAGACCGTGTTACAGAAGAGGCATTTATGTGAGTGAAGTAGGTGGCGGGAGATTGCTTTGACAGTGCCTGACATCCGCAGTTTTTAATAAGTAATTCTGTTAACGTACTTCTTTTTTAAAAGTGTTGCTTGATTACCAGGAGATACCTCTGTACCTTTGGAGGAACCCCCCCCCCCCATGTAGATTTGCTGTCCTACTAAACACAATTCATTTATTAGGGCCTTTGACTTCGTTTTCTCTGACCCTTCCTGCCCCCACTCCCAACAGAACGGCAATTTCCAAGCCTCATCTTGTCAGAGTACCTAGAAAAGCATCTTCTGATTCACGGGGAGTAAGAATCTGCAGTTGCGTCTGCTTCCTTTTTATGTAATAATTGATTAGATCACCGAATATTCCCGATGCCAAATTCCAGAGCTCTGACATGGCGAGCTCTTAAGAGAGAAGGCTTTTGGTGGACACTTATATAAACTGTTGTGGTTGTGAGCCCAAATGTTTCAGAGCTGATGTCTTTTGTCTTTTTAATTTCTTCCACGATTCTTTTAATTAGAACTGGGCCCATGATGTGGCAATAGGTGAGGGCTGTCAGCTCAAGTGGGCAGAACGTTACAAGTTCCCAAATTTACCAGCCTGGGTTGACTTCCTGAGGTTTTGGCTACACATGTGAAAGCACTAATCAGGGGTTTTTCCTATATTTTTGAAGTGAGCTTGCAAACCGTGATTGAGGCAGTCAAGCCAGTGAGATGGTCCAGTCGTGCTGAAAGTTGGACGGTTGGCCTTTGATAACAGGGAACCTGGAGAAAGCTCTAGAAAGGTGCTACAAAAACACAACCTTCCTGTCCCACCTATATTGTTGTTGGCACATCTGTCTGTCTCAGGAGACAATGGAGGAGTGAAGTTTAGCTCAAACCATTGGAGAATTACGGCGCCTGCTGTGGCTGTAGAGACCGATACAGGAGAGACATGTTTTGTTGCAGCCAGGGCAGAGGAAGGCGTCCTTCTGTCTGCTCAAGGAACCGAGTCTCTTAAACTTGGACGAACCAAAGGTCACAGAGATCAAGAAAGTTCATGAATTTGACTCTCCGGGTGCAATTTTTTGCATCTAGAAACCCCTGAGTAGAGCTCAGGAGACAAGCTTGCTCCACCAACCAGAAATTGTATAGAAATGTACACAAGCTGCTGTTCTTGGCATCCATATGTCTCAGGAGACAATGGAGGAGTGCGCCTTCGGGGATGAAGTTAAAACGCTGGAGAATTACAGCGCCTGCTGTGGCCGTAGAGACCGATACGGGAGAGACATGTTTTGTTGCAGCCAGGGCAGAGGAAGGCGTCCTGTTGGGCTGCTGCAGATGCACCATGGCGTTTTGTCTCTCTGCTCTCGTCCCAGTGGTCGTTCCTCCTCTGGTCATTGCTATGGATGCACAACCTGATTGCCTGTCTCCAGGTACTGCGGTCGTCTGCAAAGGATTCCCACATGGCGGGGTTGCTGCCTGCAGAGCACATCCCTGGGGATCCAGCCATCTTCCATTCTGGGGACATGGCCAGGTCACGGGCACCTATATATCTCCAGACTTCTATGTGCACAAAAATTCCATGGATAAGAGAGGTCAGTTAGTGTTATCCACACGGATCAATCAGATGATTCACCTTTGGTGACACCATTAAGATTCGTATCTTGACCACTGAGAAATAACCCTAGTGGGCTGAAATGAGTTCTCAGTATATTATTGCAGGTCACAAGAGCTTGGCTTCTCAGAATTACTGTGCGTTATATGAGCTTGAGGATTGCACTTTAAGATCATATGACCAGCAGGCTGGATTCGGCCATTGGCTCATCTAGTCCAGCACCCTGGTCCTCCTCCTCTGATGCTCTGCCTCTTTATTTGAAAGTAAGATACCTTAGGAGTTGTTGCTGTTGAAATCTGTACACCACCCTGTACCCGCAGGTCTCAGGGCAGTTACAACATAAAATTACAGTATAAAAACACAGAATACATAATGAAAATATAAACAAAAACAACCCAATAAAAAGGGACGCGGGTGGCGCTGTGGGTTAAACCACAGAGCCTAGGACTTGCCGATCAGAAGGTCGGCGGTTCGAATCCCCGCGATGGGGTGAGCTCCCGTTGCTCGGTCCCTGCTCTTGCTAACCTAGCAGTTTGAAAGCACGTCAAAGTGCAAGTAGATAAATAGGAACCGCTCCGGCGGCAAGGTAAACGGCGTTTCCGTGCGCTGCTCTGGTTCGCCAGAAGCGGCTTAGTAATGCTGGCCACATGACCCAGAAGCTGTACACTCGCTCCCTCGGCCAATAAAGCGAGATGAGCGCCGCAACCCCAGAGTCGTCCGTGACTGGACCTAATGGTCAGGGGTCCCTTTACCTTTACCTTTAACCCAATAAACCTTCAGGAAGCAGATTAGTGGATTTCCCTGGAATTGCATCCTGTGTTTTCACTTGTGCGTGTGTTAAAAACAAAAAAACCTTAATATAACCAGAACTAAAAGTACTTGTAAAAAAATAATCATGCGCTTTAACACCACATCCAAGCATGGAAACTATTCTCCATCCCCACAAAAAAATCTGCCGCTGGTTCCCTGGTCCGACTGCGCTGTGCAGCTGTCGCATTTTAAAAGGCCGCCCTTTGTTGGCTCCTCATTCCGCGAGAGGGTGGTGAAGGATCCGTCCCTCGGCCAGGGAGGCTAAACCTAGTTCGCCAGTTGTAGGTTGCGCAAAGGACGGGCGCAGGGCAGCTTAAAGGGCTGCTCTGTCTGGGAGCTTCTCAAAGTCTGCTCTGTGCCCCAGGAACAGGTGGCCAGGGGGGAAGAGGCAGGCCGCTGTTCCCCAGGAAGCTTCAACGCAGCATTTGGAGGCAAGGAATCGGAAAGAAAACAATGCCTGATCCTGGTGCTTTTAAAAGGCAGCTTTCTTCCCTTCCCCTGTCTCTTCCAACCGGGTTATCCCCGTTTTCCCCGAGGAGTGAGGAGCACACGGGAGGACCGTGTTGTGTGTGGTGAGGGGCAACAGAAATCCCTAGTGGTCTCCCGGGAGGCTAGTACACGGCAGCTGAAGGAACCAGCTTTCTCGATGGAATTTTATCACAGAGGGGCCATTGTTCCGCTCTGCTGTGTGCTTGGTTTGAGAACCTTATTAACCTTTTCTCTGCTGCATCCG